ACGAAAAACCATTTAATGATTCAGAACCAATACCAGTACCTCCCTGTGAAATTACTAATGTAGAATTCAATGCACAAAGTATCTCCAAGGCAATCAGTACATTGAAACACTCCTACACTGATGGACCAGATGGTATTCCATCTAGCATGCTAAAACGTGGAGGTGATGATATGTGTGTTTTGCTTCTCAAACTATTCGCGATATCACTCTCTCCAGCGTGTTACCCTACTGCCTGGAAAACTACACACATCACTCCCAAAATTGAAACAGGACCTGAGGCAAACGTTGAAAATTACCGGTCTATAAACATAACTTCAGTGGTATCCAGAGTGATGGAAAAAGTAGTTTAGGCGGCTGTAGTCCAACATCTACTTACTAACAATCTCATCTCGACCTCCTAGCATAGATTTCTTAGGTCCAGATCATGCGATACATGCCTAGTAGACTACTTGAATGATATAACCCTGAAACGCGACAGCGGACTCCTTGTATCAGTCCTATTCTTAGACTTTAAGAAAGCCTTTGATAAGGTCCCACACAAAAGGCTACTCGTCAAACAAAAGTCCTTCGGAATAAACAACCCACTGTACTCATGGTTTGCTTCGTTCTTAACAGAACGTAAACAGATGGTAAAGTACAACGACTGTCTCTCGTCACCTAAACCAATCACCAGTGGAGTCATCTAGGGAAGCGTATTAGGTCCACTTTTGTTTCCTGTGTATATAAACGACATATATAACACCATGGAATTTGGGAAACCGTACTTATATGCTGATGATCTCAAAATAGTATAAAGCTATAAGCCTGAGACACTAAGCGAAAGTGTATCCCAGATCCAAAAGGACCTCAATAGCTTAACTATCTGGAGTGGAAAATGGCAATTACCATTTAACCTCAACAAGTACGGGGTCATGCACTTTGAAAGCGTGCCTATAAACCGCAACTTCACTTAAATAAAAGTAGAGTCCAAACACTCGAATCAGTACATGATTTAGGAATTGATTACACAGGAAGTCTGAACTTTGAAGAACATGACTCCTCTATTATTTCTAAATCTAGACGGCTAATTGGTTTTATAATGAAAAACTTTTCCACGACAGAGGGTAAACTTACTCTCTACAAAATATGTGTACGACCCTCCCTTGAATATTACTCTTTTGTCTTCTCTAATATGAATATCACAGACAAGATAAGAGTAGAAGATGTTCAAAGACGCTTCACACGTCAACTACTAGGATGTAACTCGAATCTCGATTACACAGACAGATGTAAGCATCTCTCTTTAGAACCTTTATGGCACCGTAGGCTAAAGAACAACTTAATATTTCTCTACAAAGCGATATATGGGGCCTCCTTTCTAACCTCTTGCCCGACTATGACCCACGACCCAACCTATAGACTTAGAAACAACGCATATACACTACTTACAGTAAAACACCAAAAACAAATGCGTTGTAAGTTTTTTGCTGTACGGTATAGTTTATTGTGGAACAAGCTGCCAGTGCATATCCGTAACTGTGGCACTTTTACCACATTCAGAAGGTTAATAACACTGTTACTAGATTCTAAAGAACTTCAACATTTCCTTGAACTCCCGCCCACCAATGAGGCACTTTATTACGGACCGCTTAGTATCTAGACATAACAAGAATATAACGAGCGCGACTGTTATTAATATGAATATAACCAAATCACAGAATATAAGGTTTATCCTTTTCCTATTATTCATTGTTTATTAATCATGGCCTTATGATCCTAACCCTCTTTTTCATTTCCCAAATCTCTCTACAGGTTAAATGTACGTTATTCTTCCTAAAAGTCATGCCTTTTTTTCTATTGCAAGTAGACAGATAACTCATTATTCTTATGGATGCTGATCTACTAAGGCCGACCATACAAAGCTCAAAATTTGGCCACAAAGTCTTGTGAGTTTCTCATTGTTTCATTTTTCTTACCCTAAAATCTTTTTCTTTTTTCTTTTTATATTTTTTCCTACAATTTTATACCCTCTCTTATCCTCTGATTTGCTATTAGTCCTTACTTCTTTAAACCACTAGTTATCTCCATAGTAGTGTGATATAATATGTGGACATCTAACCCATAAAACAAACTTTTTAACTATCTGATCTGCTTGTAACATGAACCTAGTAGAGACAGTGTATTCCAAATATGGGCTTTGATTAAAGCAGTATTCATACTTACCACAAACGTAGGAGAGCCTAACATCACAAAAGGAGGGAGGGCGGCGTTACTGACCAGCAAACATGATGGTTGGGAGATAACTTCAATCCACCCATGTCTGTAGGGCAGAACGTTTTGTTTAATTACGGCTCCTTATGGTTTAGTGGCATGTCACGAACTTAAGATATTAATGCTGATTTATCATGCAAAATACCTCTTTAAATTGTGGTACGAACGTTGAATTGGTTTCACTTCCTACCCAGTAATCCTATTAAAAGCAAACTAGGCAATTCGCTAATATACGAAGCCTACTCAAGATTCTATGATACCTAAAAAAGTAACAATAATACAAAAAATGAAAAGGGCTCCAATAGCTTCAATAAAAAAGGAGACAGCCAATTGTATATCACAACACTGTTTTTAGCACTATAGTTTAAAACCACACATAATCCCATACCCTCAGCTCCTTTCTGAATCGCCTCCATTTGTCAGTTGTATGTAGCTTATCAGTTGTAGCTTGTCGGGAGCTAGTCGGTGTGCTTTAGAGAATACAGGTGGTCATGTAGTCGTGATATGATGTGTAACGTTGCTGGTTACACACGGTAGTTTCGGTTGCGTTTGTTGTATCCCAGGATACTTATCGAGAAGTGGCTGATAGAGTGGGTCTATCATATGTTTAATTGTGACTGGGGATAATTTGCAACCAGTAAAAGAAGTTACGCAAACGGATAAATTAGTGTTTCCGTCTACTAGCCTCCATTTGCGCGTATCGATGAGTAGATTATGGTGTTGTAGAAGGTCCATACCAATGATTGGCATAGAAACATCTGCAACAACGAAGATCCAGTGAATGGGTTTGCGTAAACCCACGTTAAGGTGAACGTACCTTTTGCCATACGTAGCGATAGGCTTTCCGTTTGCCGCCTGTAAGTTTAAAGCCGATTCGTGTAGTCGGTCGTTAGGATTTGCTGGGAGAACGCTAACTTCTGCGCCGGTGTCGACGAGGTAGCGAACTCTCGTTGTCACATCTGTGACGTATAGCAGACGGCTATGTTCGCCGGCCACGGTTGCCGTTATCGCGTGCCGGCTTGGAAGTTTCCCGAATTGCTTTTCGAATCAGTCGGTCTCGTGTTGGGAAAATTGCAGGGTTTTCTGCAATTTCTGGAAAGCTTTCCATACTGGTTATGATACCAGCACCAGTCGGGGTTATCTGTCTCTCGTGGTCTAGAGACAGATCGCTTACGAGAAATGCTTCTACGTGGTGTGCGCGATCTCTTACGGTCGGTACGAAGACTAAGATAACGCGTGAGTGTGTGACATAAGTCGGTTATATCATTCTGAGTCGCTTGAGGTTTTTCTTTGACTGAAAATACCTCGGTAGTAGGTTTCTTAATTTCTAAAATGCGGTCGGCAGATGCAGCTAGCTCGTCTAAGGCGTTGTTCTGGAACGAGACCAGAACTGCTTGCACCTGTTGGGGAAGTTTTGACAAGAAGAGTTGTTTGAATAGACCTTCGTCGAAAGTTCTTGGGCCTATAACCTCTCTCATTCGTTGCAACATTTCCGTCGCAGAACCGTGTTGCAGATCGATGTTATTGAGGAGTTGGTCTAACCCGTCTATCGGTTAGACCTCCGGGTTTAGAAAGAGAACGTTCCAGCGTTTCGTAAGTTTCACCATCACTAGTAAACATACTGTGTGTTACGTACCTGTTGAATTCCCGCGGTAGTGCCTTGACTACTGCGAGTAATTGTGCACGTGTGTCGATCACGCCGTGCTCGGAGAAGTCGGCTTCCGCGTAGCAAAACCAGGCTTCTATGTTGTCTGGCCAGAAGGGCATCAGTTGAAACAAGGGCGGGGACAAAGTCTTAAGCTTAAGTACTTTGGGGGTCTGTTCAGTCATGATGAAATATGAAGTACGATAATGAACGAGGGATATATATATATACAAAAAGCACGAAAAAATATCACAATGCATAAAAAATTAAGATAAGGTAATGATATATAGAATTCCGAAAAGGAACAGACTCATAGTTTACGATTTGGTGTACCAGATCACATCGGGCTCACCAATGAAGATGGCACAGATATTTAGTGTTTGACAACGCTTTAGCCAATAACACTTAATATAACTCGTACCCACCAAGAGAAGTCAAAAGACAGAGTCGAGGAGATTGGAAGACATATTTGATGACTATCAATATATCGGGATTGTCTGATCTAACCTTTCTAGCGATTGCAGTAGATATTGAGCACGGCGTTCCCACTAAGTGATCTGGTGCGGATGCACGACCGAACGCCTTCAGCTAGGTGGGTCCATTAAAACATTTGGGCAGCATCCAATGTCGAAAACTTACAGAGCTATTTATTTTGGGGATTTATTTACCGCTACAAGACTACAGGATGGCCTGACTCTAGATTTCCAATCATCCCATGTAATCCTTGAAGGCTTCAGAATTTAGATGTACATCCAACTATCCAACCAAAGACACTATCGCAAGACCAATGTTATGATGAGAAGTATTCGAATTGATTTGCCAACTAAGAATTCCCAGGATAGCTCAATTTAAGGCAGTTAAAAATTAGAAGTAAATATGACAATATTTCTAAACTGGATAATGAACATGTTGAAAGAAAGGGAAAAGTGTTAACGATAAGCAGGTGTACATTCAAGAAAATTTCGTCGTTTGAACTACGAATTGGATGAGTGAATTTCCATGTTGTGAGGAAAAAAATTAAATTTGCCGGTTAATGCTGAATGACTTATTTCCGTAGTCAACGCACCAATAGGGTAGCTTTCGTTCGACCTACAAGTGCGTAACCATATCCATGGGCATGAGATAGTATCGTCGTATACCTGCTCAGAGTTAATTTACCTGTCGATGTTGTTGTTAAGCGTATCAATATATTCTTCAAGTTTAATCCCATTTTATTGTTGTGATTATTGAAGGTAAGCTATGGCTGCAGCATCATCAAAGATGACTCGTTAGGTAATTGTGTTACGTTAGATATTTGTTCATCGCATTTGCTAACGGATCTTATTATTGGCAATTGTACTTACCATAAATTTCGTTCTTTGGATATGTGTGCACTTATCAATTGCCAAAGAGCATCTTCTAAAAAATCCAAAGCTAAAATATTCAATTATTTCTGCAAGGAATTATCGGATGTACTTGAATGTGATCCTGATACCATTGAGAGGACAGATGTCACTTTTGTTGTTGGTCAGAATGTTTATCATGGGAACCAAAAAACAATTTCCATATTGAGTGAGGAGCTGAAAAAATGCTTTCAGTCAGAAAGCGAAGACTTCGATCACAGCTCTACACATGGTTGCATACTGAAAGTAACTAGATCAAAGTCTTCGTCTTCACTCAAGGTGTTTATTGATGCATCTGCGGACATTTTTGAAGCGGTATTAAATTATATGCTTACTTTAAAGTAAGTTTTGTTTATAGGAATCAGGTTTTTCGAATATTCGTTGTTTACTTGTAGCAACTGTTTTACTTCACTTGACTTGTAATAAATGTATTATTAATACTAGGAGTTTGTAGCGTATTTATCGTTTGCATGGAATGATGTTTTTTTACGATTGATATTCATTTTAAAGGTTTGATACGTAAATTAGTTATGAACAAATCTACCCTCACGTTCTTCATTTCAGAGAACTACTTAAACTCAAATCCTGAACACGTTCAGCATTCTTTGAAATTTTCGGAATTTTGAATGTATTTTGCCTAGTGTTTCGCCACGCACAAAGGTTTAGCACATTTATGTAACATTAAAATGGTTAAGAAATTTGGTTTTATTTCATCCCTTATATGTTGTATATTAGTGAACAACGGGAAGTTTGTGAATTTTCTGTTATTATCCACAGCAGCACTTTTCTGCAGTTTAAAGTATCCAATTTCCCTAAGTGATGGTATTTAGATGATTTAACCGAACTTTTGTTAAGATGAGAACAAGAACATCTAAACCACATTCTTGCGCATACACTAATTAATGAACGTTGCCTATTAGCGAAAGCGATTAGACTGTCGAGTTTCCCGAATTTTAAAAGTCGTCGGAGAGGTTACGCTTCGTGATCTGGTGCTAAAAATATCAAGTACGTTAGCTAGGGAGTACTGGTTTTTCAGCAATTAGGTACCAAATAAAACCTTTTACACATAAAATGCACTTTTCGTACTCTATAGCAGTACACCGTATGTAGTACGTTTTTTCATGTCACCGATAAAATTTTTTGTAGGATTCTCATATTCCCATGCTCCTTTCTGTACCACTAAATCCTATGGTCAAAATAGTGAGTGGATTATTTAAACCTTATGTTTTAAATATTATCCTATAGTAATGCTTTTTTTCGTTCAGGTATTTGTTGTGCTGTGAAAGGATTAATTGTTTGAACCATTACAGTAATAGGACCTAGACTGATGCTGATTCATTCACATCCCATTAGAAATTTAGTAAATCCATATTTCAAGGTAGCTTCTTTTAGCAAATACTCATATTTCTATATTATTCAACAAAGCACATTTTTAGTAAGTAGGTTTCAATATACTACACCTTTTTTATTAGACAGTGATTCGGTTTATCCCGACAATGTGGTAAAGTACTTAGTTTCATATGTAGTAACCATATCAACTAGTGGTAGTTAGTACTTTCTGGTCTATCAACATTGATTTATCTACTCCGTCTGTCATCGTAGCTTCCTAATTAAAAACTTTTCCACTTATACCAGGCTTACTGTGCCCGAAGACCTAATACCACACGTTTACTATCTGTCAAAATGTCTACAGATCAAAACTTTGGAGACAACGTGCATCGAGTTTTTAATTCACAATTTATCAATCAACAGTGTTGGGGGTAAGATTTTTAAAAAAATCACGAGTTGCTGAAGTTTTTTTTCTAACTAATATTCTTTAAAAATGTTAGATTTTCTTGTTCAGCTCTACTTTAATTCCAGATCCGTTTCATTTATTATACTCTGGATATAATTGACTTCTTGTGGTTAGGCAATATTACAATGGTTATTTAAGAGAATCCATGACTTTATATACTATTTACAGTTTAAATTTATATAAACTTAATATTGTGTTGAAAGATGTTTTCCATAGTGTTGGTTCTAGTTGTCATTTACACAGCGTAGGATCTGGCATAAATTGTCAATTTCTCAATACTCGAAACTTCACATCAATATAAAGCGAAAAAGTTGATAAGATAAAAAGTGGACAAATCGAAATAGTAGTAATATAAATGGTAATGCATGTCTGAACATACAAAATATTGTTCCCTAAGAACAAGTGAGATTGGGTAATAAAATATACAATGATATGAAAAATCAAGATTTGGAAGAAAAAACAAAATGAAGACATCTGTGACAGTTGTAAACCTTATCAACTAAGGTTTCCAGTTAAAGGTCATAATTGTCTGCAGAACTCCATTGAAAACTTCTGAACCTTCCAACTTCGCTCCGAACAACAACCAGTGACTTTATCTCTTGATTTTGATTGGGACTCATACAGACATAAGATGATATTCTATGTAAACATTACCCTGAACATCACTATAAAATGAGGAACTGGTAAAAAACAATCCCAGCTATCAGCAGTCGAATGAAGCCAGCACATGTGGGATTTTAGAATTTTGTGTAACTAAATATGATGAAAAAGTTAATATGTTGATGAATTAGTAACTTATTATGACATGGGCTCAAAATATGTGGAGTCTCATTGTTTATTCGGTGCACCAAAACGATTAGTACTCCCGTACAATACATGCTATTTCACCAGTATAATATTCCACACTAGTCTTCAGCATTCGGGTTGTCGTCTTTGTAGATTCTTCGCAGCATGTGTATTTTCTTTTAGTAAAGTTCTATTACTTAATTTTTCTGTTATTAACTATAATAAAACGCATCTAGGTATATACCACCATGGACATGCCTACCAGATCTTCAAAATTATTAAAAAACATACTCGGAGTTTGCCAGGTCAACCTCATGTCGTTTTTCCTCTTGTTTTACAGAGTAGAAGAAAGTTTTTATTTGAGGACTTGACGTAAATCACCAGAAAACTTTCCAAATGTTGGCATTTAAGTAGTGGCTATTAATATAATCTCAACACCTTAAGCACTCTGTTTTAAAGACTGATTTGTCAAATCAGATTTTTACAACTATTGACAACATGGAATAAGTCATTTAAGTCGTTTTTTGTTTGTGCATGCATTGAATAGCAATTGAACAACAAAATATGTCACTTATATATTTAGGCATCACTGTAATCGAGGAATAACATATTGGCGATTATCATGTCCTGCATAATGTAGTTACATAATGTGTGGAAAGTTCGCACACCATTCTGTGAGCTACCGAAATCTCAATTGTTCTCTCTATTTTAGCGGTAGCTTACTGTTAAGGCATTCGACTTTCACCCACTAGGCTACAGGTTTGAGCTCCCCTTCACCTACTTCGGTCTAGGCAACTGGTTAGTATCAGTAGCCCTCGCACTTAATGTGTGCCTCATACCCAAGTACCTAGTGGATGAGTCAACTTACTATTGGCAAATCAGTAGACGCATTTAGTCAACGACGGGTATTTAATTTATCTGTACGCTATTACAAAACGAGTCCATCAGTGTGTCATATGTGGAACACAAAGTACCTACTTTGTCCAGAAAGGAGCTCATGGGGATTTCAAAAGTTTTGCAATAACTCTTCTGAAATCAGCATAAGAACATACGAATCTGAAGTAAACCTCTTAAGAGTATCTGATTAACATAGCTTGTTTTTAATATTGCGTCTTACATCCTACTGTTTCTTGTACAGTTCTGTGTAGCTTTATTCAGTTCAGTGGGGTTTATCAAAATAGTAATGAATTTGCTACAAGTCTCACATCTTATTCGCCAGAAATGTGCCTAACAAAAACATTACACCACTACTTGTTAACGGAAGCAGATGCCATCGCTTGTTCTCAAACAGGAATTCTTAGTGCTCGTTTGATAGTAAACCTTACAGGCAATTTCGATTCATCAGATGATCAAAATGGAATTCAAGAACCTTCCAACGAATATTTAGCCGTTGGAGTTTTGCGATGGGCATTTGAAAAGTTATTAACAGGCGAAAGACTGGCAAGGGCGGGAAGTGAAGATAATGTTTGTTCGGACGATGAAGAAAGTGACGGGAATGGCAGCAGTCATGCTGTTGGGAACTCTAATGGATCACAGCGTAAACGAGCAGGTAGTCAATTTCAGTTTTTGGCTCAAAAAAATTTGTTAAATGGAATTCGTTCAAAATGTGGTACATCAGCTCAGTATAGCCTCGCTTCAGATGACAATGATGATAGCGATGATTTAAATTCAGAAACTAAAGCCGAGGAACGTGGCTCAGTTTCAGACACTCTGAATTCATTACGATATTATAGTACACAAGATATACGAGTAAGTCTTGTGAAATACCTTATCTTTTAAGGTATTGTATATCCCACATTTATTTTCCTGCATAATCGTAAAATGTCAATGACCTTTTTCCCAAATAACCCACTGTTGCTCAAGTATTCACCTAAATACCTTCTATGGTGTGGTAGGGCAATTTGTAAAATATAGTTGCTATAAATAAAATTTTAAATGAGACTGGATATAGTTAACTGAGATGAATTTTCAGCGTTGCTTATGCGTGCTACGACTTTTCCGGGAACAACATTTGCTTTAGCAGTAGGGTTCTGATTGTGAGAAATAAGTCAGTTGAAACCACTTGTCTAGTGAACTTGTATATATGGTTAGGTCATATGTTAAATATGCCCAATGGTTGTATGGTAGACGCCACAGAATAGTCATTTCATGACACGAGACCATTACTTGATGTTGTATATTAGTGTTAGTTTGAGCTAAGTTCCAGAGTAGAGGCTTTCTGTCAGCGTAAGTTAGATTAGCGTTGGATTGGATGTTAAGATGTATTAGTTCGGACTAGAGATAATCTACATGTATGTTATTCTCTTCAGCTGGACTTTTGTATTTTATCATTTGCCTTTACACAGTGTATGTGCTAGAGGATTTATGTTTAATTGGTGAGGTTCATTTATTTTCATTTCAATACCGATAAAAATCCTTGCCTCTGTGACCATGTGATATACACTCTCTATGGGACACACGATTGTATTGGAATGGTTTTATTACTCGCGATCCAATGATTGTATGACAGTTTTTGTATATTGTTCTGTTAAGCACCTAAGCCCCTATATTGATAGTGAAACATACTATTGTAGCTCCAACCAAGAGTGGCCCTAACATGAAATCAGTTCTCTTAGAATGGTAGGTGATTAACTTATGAAATTCCATTTTCGGTTTTCAGTAACTGTCATAGATATCTATTTCTTTGAACAAGTTTCCGTTTATAGCGAAGCTCGAAATTTTTAGATGATTACAAGCAGTAACTGTTAATTTGGTTTTAAACTTTGCGTAGTAGTTACTTTTGAACACATTTCTAGTTCAAGAAATAATAAAGATAAACAAATTATTCATGTTTTTGGTTAGACAGAGTTTACTGATGTTGGTTCCACTCTGTAAGAAAGGGTCAAAATCATCCTGTGACAACCACAGAGGGATTAGTTTAACTAATATAGTCTCTAAAATACTAGCCTCGATAATTATCAGACGCCTAACTAAGACTCGTGAACTGCAAACACGAGAGACTCAAGCTGGCTTCAGACCTGGTCGTGGCTGCATCAACCACATATTCACCATTCGTCAGGCTTTAGAACATAGGCATACTTATCGACGTCCGACAATGGTGGTCTTTCTTGACTTAAAAGCAGCATTTGACTCCGTGGACAGCGAGATTCTGTGGTAGTGTCTGTCATTGAAAGGCGTACCTCAGAAGTACATAGACCTTGTGAAGGCTCTTTACTCGAACACTACCAGTCGAGTCAGAGCTTATGGCTAACTGTCATCTGCTTTTGCAACCTCAAGTGGTGTCCGTCAAGGCTGTCCATTATCTCCATTTTCGTTTAACTTCATCATAGACCTACTGATGGAAATAACATTCTCGTCGACTGAATTCTCGGGTATTGATCTCCTATCAGGAGGTTCACTTATCGACTTAGAATACGCAGATGACATAGTCCTGTTTGGTGAAGACGCTGATAAAATGCAGAGTCTTTTGGTAGCACTGAGCAACAATGCCAGAATATTTGGAATGCGCTTCTCTCCCTCTAAATGCAAATTGTTGCTTCAGGACTGGTCTGCGTCAACACCTGAACTAAGGATAGGGAGTGAAGTAGTCGAACGTGTTGACAACTTCACTTATCTTGGAAGTCTGATCAGCCCTAATGGGTTGGTGTCTGACGAAATCTCAGCATGGATTCGAAAAGCTCGTTTGTCTTTTGCCAACTTACGTCACCTATGGCGAAGGCGAGATATCCGTCTATCAATAAAAGGACGAGTATACTGCGCGGCAGTCCGTTCTGTTTTAATTTACGGCAGCGAAACATGGCCATTAAGAGTAGAAGATACTCGTAAGCTACTAGTATTTCACCACAAATGCCTTAGAAATATTGCTCGCATCTGCTGGGATCACCGGGTAAGTAATAGTGAGATTAAACGTAGGGTATTAAGGAAGGATGGTAAATCAGTCGATGAGGTTGTGAATCTTCGTCGACTGAGATGGTTGGGCCACGTGTTACGTATGCCTGAACACCGATTACCACGACGTGCAATGATAACCGGTGTTCGGGATGGTTGGAAGAAAGTTAGTGGCGGCCAAACCAAAACGTGGCATCTGTGCTTAAAGTCACTAACTTGTAGTCTGAGCCATGTTGGTAGATGCAGACTACTCGGTAATCATTTGTTAGAGACTCTTGGTGACGTGGCTCAGAATCGATCACAATGGCGTCGGTGTATGCACTTTCTGTCTTCCCTTAAACTAAGAGATTAAAATTGATTCATATCTTTCTTTCTACGAACTAATTCTTTCTTCCTGTACTATATCCTTATTGCAATCTTTCTTTTAGATGTTACCACCTCCAAATTAACTACTTTTATGAATCCGGTGTTCATCTTGTGTTAATGAGGTATGGCAATTTGAACCGATGCATATATGTGCCTGGTCCTACGTTGTAGCTGAATGACTGACTGACACCAGAAAACATTGCACGTCGGGGCAGTCGGTGGTTGGGCATACGTAACACGTGTCCCAGCCATCTCAACTGATGAAGTTTCACTACTTCATCAATTGATTTGCCATCCTTACCTAGTACCCGTTTCCTAACAACTGTGTTACTTACTCGATGGTCCCATGATATACGAGCAATGTTTCGAAGACACCTATGATCGAATACTAGTAACCTACGAATATCCTCTACTCTTACCGGCCATGTTTCACTGCCATAAAGTAGGACGGAACGAACTGCTGCGCAGTAAACACATCCCTTGGTTGATAGACGGATATCTCGCCTACTCCATAAATGACGCAAGTTGGCAAAAGCTAGTCGAGCCTTCTGTATCCATGCTGAGATTTCGTCACACACCAGACCACAAGGGCTGATGAGACTTCGAAGATAAGTGAAGCGGTCGACACGCCCGACTACTTCACTCCCTATCATTAGTTCAGGTGCCGACGCAACTCAATCCTGAAGCAACACTTTACATTTCGAGGGGGAGAATCGCATCCCGAACATACTTGCATTGTTGCTTAGAGTGGTCAGAAGACTTTGCATTTTGTCAGCATCTTCACCAAATAGAACTATGTCATCGGCATATTCCAAGTCAACAAGTGAATCTCCTGGTAGAAGTTCAACCCCTGGAAATCTAGATGAGGAAAGTGTCATCTGTAAAAGCACATCGACAACAAAGTCAAAGAAGAATGGAGAGAGTGGGCAACCCTGACGAACACCACTTGAGGTAATCAATTCTGATGACAGTTCGCCATAAGCTCTCACTCGACCAGTTGTGTTCGAGTAGAGAGCCTTTACAAGGTTAATGTACTTAATGGTACTCCTTTCAGTGACAAACACTGCCATGGAACCTCACGATCAACAGAGTCGAATTCCGCCGTAAGGTCGAGAAATACTACGATTGTGGAGCGTCTGAACGTGTGCCTGTGTTCTAGAATCTGACGTAGTGTGAATATCTGGTCTATACAACCACGTCCAAGTCGAAAACCGGCCTGATTTTCTCTAGTATGCTCTTCACGAGCTTTGGTTAGACGTCAAAGTATTATTGAAGCTAATATTTTAGACACTATATTAGTCAAACTGATTCCTCTGTGATTGTCACAAGAGGACTTTTTTTCCTTTCTTATAGACTGGAACAATCAGTGATTGAGACCAGTCAGATGGGATTGCGTCCAGTTCTCAAATTCTACCTAAGACCTCAGTTAATCTCACTGCTAATACTGGACCACCATCCTTAAAAATCTCAGGAGTGAACCTGTCAGGGCCTGCTGCTCTCACTTGCTTCAGATTTCCTATAGCTTTTTCAACTTCGTAGAGTCGGAGGACCTACATTAACTTGCCATTCAGGTTGACTGGAGATCATGGGAAACCGAAGTGTGACTGAAGGCCAGTTGAACTGATCCCTGAAGTGTTCTGCCCATCGATCCGATCTCCTGGATTGAGAATGAACGATGTATCCATCTTTTCCGAGATATTTTCCTAAACAGTTGGGTTCCTAATACCGGTTTCCTTAACGAGTCTGAACAATTGTCTGCTATTACCTATTGCCGCTGCGTTTTCCATCTCTCTTGCTTTCGCTGCCCACCACTGTTCACGATCATTGCGTAGGCTTCTTGTCAGCTTGCGCTTAAGCTAACTCCGCTCTTCGTTATGTTCAGATCCAGATGGAATGAGTTTTCGCGCATCTATCAGTGCGGTAGATGCTGCTGAGATCCAGTGTTGCTCCCTAACCTTGTGGTATACCGTAATAGCAGATATCATTGCTGTTTCCACAGATTTTCGGATATCATTCCATGCTGCCTCGGAGTGGGCATCACCTACATGGCTGCCTAACTGTTTTCCTAGTTCCTGAAATATACTCCTAGCTTGACTATCATTAAATAGGACCCTAAGAGGTTTCCTTGCAGCGTCTTTCTTACGTCCAGTAAGACGCAGGCAAGGATCATACTTAGTTTTTGTCTGTTTGATAGGTTTAATGGGGTGACAAATGAAATGACTTACTATCCAACAACCAAACGATGATTAAATTCATCTCAGTGGTTACATCTCTAATTAGAACATTAAGAATTACGACTTTCAGAGAAACATAAGGAACGTTAAATAACTAGTGCAACTTTTTGCTGAATACAAACTAAACAAAAGATTTTAAATTTGGGCACCCAGTCGTTTACTTACAAATATACAAGGTAAATACGCTAAACAGTTTCGTCTCTATATTTAATTCAGTAGTCAATATAATTCCTCGTCCTTAGTATGTGATCAAGCTCTAAAAGTCAGTCATGATAAATAATGATCATTTATTTCACCGATTCGTTCCTCTGTTTTCGCATTCTCTAGTATTCCTTTCAGAATGATAGATTTGGTTTACTTCCTTTTGAATCCGTGAAATCCCATATGGTTTGTGACTATAATTGAAATGGTTCAAACCGATCACAGAGTCCCAAATGCATTTTTTTTATCATCTTCCTCCAAATCTCGAACCAGTATTATCGCTCGTACTTCTCATTTTATTATTTAATTAGTCTCTTTTGGACTGTGTTTAGTTAACTGTTCTGTTGTATCTTGAATAAGCACTTCATTCGTTTGTTCTTGTAGTGACTGGTTCTGGGTCCTGGTTGAATCTATTCCATTGGTATCCTAATTCGTTGGGCTTACTTGGTTTACTGTTGATGGGTTTGGTGTTGCACGGTAGATTAATAAGAATTTTTGGATTACATCCTCCACCTCTCTTTCTCCCTCGGCTTTAGGTAGTTTTTTTTAAATGTCGACAAATCTCTTAAATTGTCAGTTTGACTGTGGATGATAGGAAATGTCTTGATATTTTTAACGGCATTGTCAATACAAAATTTTAAAGATTCCGAAGTAGACTAAGTTCCATTATCAGATACTAATACTTCTGAAGACTCGAAACAGGTGAATACTTGTTGTAACTTGTCCACAGTAGCTTTAGCTGATGTAGACTTCATGCAACGAACTTCTGAACATTTAGAAAAGGCGCCAACAGTTGGCATAAACTATTTTCCATTTATAGTACTAGGAGAATCCATGTGCACCGTAGACCGTGAGTATGTCAGTGTTCCCTAACTGCATATTTGTGTCTTCCTAGGGGATTTAGCTGCGTTTTCACTTGCGCAACACTTTTCAACATATTCAATTTGAAACCAGGACCCAGAACCAACCACTAGAAGAACAAGTGAGTGGAATACCAATTCAATGAGTGACATGGTACATTGTATAAACATTAAGCAACTAAATTATGTTTATGTATTACGTTTATCATAAGCTTTTGGCTAACCCATAAACTATTATCATTCGATTTACTATTCTTAATATCTGACCAGTCTATTACTCACAGTTTTCCATATTCACAGCCACTTTTGTATAATTATGTTCTTTATTTCACGATGTGGTGTGGTGCGTTATGTCTGTATATAAACCATGTCTGTTTGAAGCACAAATGTAGTAGAGGCTTGTTACTGACTTTCGGACTTAAAGGCAGGGCATAGAGAGAAGCTTGCAAATAGTGGTCCAATGAGAACTTGGCTGCTGAGTCAAGATTAATGTTGCTGGTCGAACGTGTAATTGTCCAAGTCAGAGAAATTAAGCGATCGTAGATGGTAGACGCGAAATAGATCAAAGTGGAATCAATTCTGATTAGTGGCTTGTCACATAATTCTAGTCAGCAGACATTGGAAACAACATGTATCCTGTTTATTATCTCTCCAACTCTTTTGGTTTCCATGTCTTTAATGTCTCCTCCTTAAAGCAGTGTAGAGTATGATACGTTAGCCGATATACGTCTACTCCATATCGTTAGTGTTAGTGATTGACAGGTTGACTAGATTAATTTAGTTCAATTTAGTAAAGCCACTGCCCCCAAATGCCTTGGTACGACCGAGAGTGGGAAGAGTCAGCTCTCCCTCTCGAAATGTTCTCACATGGCCACGTGCATACAACAACTGCCGGGGAAGTCCTACTCACTGCCTTCTCGCGGCGTTACTGTTGTTTAAGAAATTGAGAGGACGACAAGCGAGTGTCCGGCGCTTTAACCGGATTGGTGGACACGGAGAGTTCATCTAGGGGAGTTGACAAACCCTGCTTCCAAACCGATGGTGCACATGGGCTTCAGTATCCTGAAGGAAATAATGGCATATGAACCAATCGTTGGTGACCGGCTACCATGGGACTGCATCTGCTTACGTTGCTCCACTGCCTTTTGGATTAGACCTCTCGGTTAAAGGTTCCGGGTGTGATCCCTAAGAAAACTACATGGTTCGGTTTCAGCACCCGGGCTGTAATCCAGCCCTCAAAAAGTTGAATGATTTATCTCGCGCATGTGTATTTGGTGCCTTCTTGTACCAATGTTTATGTGTTTAAATAAATAAATAGTAAAGTCACTCCAACTTGGTAACCATCTTTCGCTTTTTGTTAATTGATGGAGATGACCATTAGTGTGTGCTTATGAGAGTTAGGTTTTTTAAATAACATTAACATCAGTTTCTTTCTTCTCTGTAAGCTTATATTATTTACAAACGACATATAGATGACGAATTTCGAATTGACGTGTTTCTTTTTTCTATATTTATCAGATTTCGGTCGATATAAATGATTTACCTTTGAGTAAAGACGAAAATGAAATGAGTAACATATCTCAGGTGAGAAGTAAGATTCCTGTTACTTTGCTAAAATCGCTATCATTCGATGTATTGATTGAAGTATGGTAGTAGTAGTAGTAGTTCTTTATGGAATAAACCTTGTTAATTAAATTAAATTTCTTTCATAAATACAGGTTATTTCGAAAAGAATTTTCAGTATATTGCATAAGATATTCAATTCGTCGTCAAGTTCACTTATTGTATATTGTAACTTGATTTTGGCCAGCTATATTTAATGATGATTTCTAAATCAATCCTCATTTACAATTAATATCTTTCTTTTTCCTGGTGAAAACAATATTATAGCTTTCTCTTAAATTTATTCATTTTGCTGTACATATTTATAGGCACGATTATGTTTGGGTTCGATCATGTTTCTTACAATAAGATCTATGTGGTTGTTAAAATTCGTTAATTGTTTCCTTAAATCCCCATTTAAGAGTAATTCATTTCATTACTTAATTTTCATTATAATGCCATAAATCGACTACCGGTATCATCAACATCTTGGTCAAATCAATGTAGTATGTAGCAATAAAACTTTTTTTTTATTTAACATCAACTTTATTTTCTTAAATATTGTGTAAATGTAAACTATGTACATTATCGGATTGTTTAGACCATTTATTTGACTTGACTTGAATATATACTTATTGAGAAAGAGATTGATTTGATAAAATGCACACATTCACTATAGTATGTTAGTATCCTATCTTAATTTTCCACTTTTTTTATGTTTTCTTATTTGTCATTACCTTATCTAAGCTCATTTAGCTGAAAAATAATAAAGTAATTTCATTGAAATCACGAACCGATCAAAGTTAGACAGCCATTAAAAACCTAGAGGCACTGGAAGGATGTCTTATCTTAGTGTGGGATTCCTCAGGTTGTCGAACTTTGATCGGTTCGTGATTTCAATGAAATTCAATAATCTCCACAACTCTATACTACTGACAATAAAGTAATTGTTTTTGTCACAATATCAATTGTTATGAAACTTTATCTAGAATGAGAAAGATGAGTGAATTTATAGGTCTAAATGTTTTGCTGAATCAATACATCTGTTAAAATATGTTTTCACTTCATTCCTTTCCTTTTTTTGTCATCGTGATTTTATCAAGACTTTCAATTTCGCTTACTCGTAACTTTTAGGTTTGGAATGATTGTTCATCAGTATCATTTACAAGATAACACTTTTGATAGACTATTTCATATTGTACAAATAAAGCATTAAGTATATTATAACTTAACTCTGATACATGTAATATGGTTGACGTTTGTTTTAAAAATATTTATTTAAACATAAACATTGGTAGAAGGCGGCACTATATATATATTGCTAGCTTCTAAGAATTGAACGTGAAATTCTTCTACTAATTTGTTTTACCAGACACACTGTATATCTGCGTCCTCTATAATCTGCCAATGTATCCTACTTTATAAAAATGTTGCGTAATTCGACTTGAAATCGGACTAAATGGCACAAATTCATTGTCCATCTATGAATCCTAATTTTTTTATTTTGCTCAGTACATTTTAATTCCCGAACTTATTCGTTATTTTCAAAGCACATATTCTATTTCTGATTCCCTTTCATTGATATTACTTCTATTCGACGTTTTAAAAAAATTCATCTATTTAATTTCATCTCGCTGTGCTAAAGTCGTTTAGGAATTCGGGCTAAAGTACATTTTGGCCTAGTTCTGCGTTGCATATGATAGTGACTGGAAACTTTTTGAACGGTAAAATTGACTAATACAATATGTGAGAGTGACTTTAAGCTAATCCAACTGATAATTTACTCACAAAACCAATCTTTGAATGTTTATCAAATAAACATCATACGATTGATTTACTAACCAACTAACTGAATTCAAGTTATCATTTCTACATAAAATTGTACACTTTATTCTCACTTGTTAATTGTTACCAATCTTGAAGTCTATTTAAAAATTCTGGCCTGTTTTTCATAACTTTACTCGATTGTGTTTAACAAAATGACAGTGATTTCATTGTCTCTTTCACTGAAGATGGAAATCATTTATTGATTTTTTCCTTAATGATTTGATTTATTTTACATGGTGAATATTATATCCAATTAACTGTTTCAGTTAATGAGACTACCTTTTTTTAATGATTCAGTGGTCGCTAAAAAATTGATTTATTTCATAAGCAAACAACTGAACCTCAATACTAGTTTATACGTCACTTAGTATATTTTCTGATATTCATGTGATTATTGTAGACTTCATTTTCGATTTTTCTTACAAAGTGTTGTATATCAGCTAAGCTTATGGTTATGAATTAGGTGTATACGTTGAAGGAACATCTGTAGAATATATTAAGCTTTAGGATTGGACAATTTTCGGTCGATATATATATATAGTGTATGCCCATCTACTGTTTTTTAATGCTTTTATTGGTTTCCATGCTATTAGAGATGATAACACACATGTTTACGTCTATACCATGCATACATGTCCAGATGTACACATGATATCTGTCTACAATTAATAATTGTAGTGTAGTATCAGTTTTTATTCTATGGTAAAGTAACTAAGTAAACTATTTATTATTTTGTAAAAATACACTAGTCTTTCGTTGTTATCAATTCGTATATATTATGTCTTGTAACATTATTGTTTATCTCGTTATTTTTTATCTTCGGGGAAAGTAAACTACAGACTATGATATTTTGTTGTTGTTGTTGGACATAGAAAACAACTAAATGATTCTGTAGTTAACTGACTGATGATACGAAACACATTTTTGGACTGGAGAAAAAAAATAAAAACACGTCACATGTGCTAAAAAAGCGACGACATTAACTAGTCGATTCACGGTCAAAATGACGTACTCTATTTTGGTTGGTGGTAATGTAGACTTATTTCTTGATGAACTTCATTATTTCTTCGTTGGCATTTTTTCTATGGACCTATTAGTAGAAAATCCAGTTAGTTGTTTGAATTGTAGTATTTATGATTATTATTGAGATCACGATCTGTTCAAGTTAAAAATCTACTAAAAACCAGTTAGCACTGAACAGCTGTTTTCTCCTAGTCACAATGCGCATCCGCGGTCCCACCATTTGAAATCGAAACTACGACCTTCAGGTCTTGCGGATAGCTCATAACCTTCGGACCACTGGATGTCTGACTTCAATCAATTTGTACGACCATCTTCGATGGTAACTACGTCAGACCTATAGAAGAGTCCCACAGTACAACGAGACGGCTCTATGATTTGGTCACTAAGAGTGAATCAGAGGCCACTTAGACTTTTTTTGTACAAATTTGATATGACAAGTAGACCCAAAGACTAAGTCTTATATTGTGAAAGAAAGGTGTTGAGGGATCCAAGGTATTCTTAAAAAAAGTCCGCTGGGAAACATTTTATCTAATCAGTATTGAATGGAAGTTTCTCAGAAACATCTAAAAAGTGAAGTTATATATTGCATTTCTAATTGGATGATTACTCACTGTGCTACTATGTTCAGTACGGTTTCAGAAACCCAAGGCCATCTGAAACTGAAACACTATAAAGAGCCTCGATTTTGCTGTACATAAATTAACCTTCGAGTAAAGCATTCTCACATTTCACGCCTTTTCTCTGGCGTTCGCGTTATCTTGCAGAATTAGCCTGGGTTTATTAAAAGAGCTTAGGAAATCGATTCAAGCATTCAATTGGAAGTCTAATTCCTATATCTGTCCTTATTTCAGTAGTTTTTGCAGTTCAATGGATTTAATCGTTAAGAATTTAGGTAACATCTGGAATTACAGTTGTTTGTTGACTGATAAAATGTTATTGCAAATACAGTAATATCACAATTGACTCTTCATAACATACATCGTCTATAACTTAGACGAGTTGTCACAAATAACATATTAGAAAAGTAATTATTGTATCATTCTGTGTTACTTTATGACTGTAAACATTTTTCACTATAGCTGAAAATGATAAAGGTAGTGACTGTTTGTCTTGGAACTCTAATCGATATCACGTGACGATTCCACCGGTCAGGATCCCAAGTACACTTTTTCGATTCCACATCCACTGTCTTATCTCTTGCCTAACGTCTTAAACTTCAACAATTATCCGTTCTGATATGCATAGTTTACTACTAAATGTACAGTAAAAATATAAATAATAATCGAAACGTATTTTCGGAAGTTACGACTTTTCGAAAACTCGTTCCGTTTGTTTATTAATGTTTTATTTTCTGTCATTAGCGCTTCATTTATCAATGAGTATATTATTCAGCAAACGAACTCGGTTTGTTAATGAAGTTGTGAATGCTGACTAAATGATCGGATTTATAAAAGAGACGAAGGCGAGACTCTAATTTATGGACGAACCTTGAACGAATCTTAAATGACCTTGACAACTATTAGCTAATCAGAAGACAGTACAAAGTAAAAATATAAGAAACTAATGAATTACAGTGGATATTCTTTTTTTACGTGATTTAAAAACTTATTAAGGTTTGATAAAGGTTCAGATGTTCTGAAATCATAATGCATACGATATAGGAACTCGTCCATATGGCTCCATAATAGTCATCCTCCAGAGCCGTGGTACGGTCTTAAAAATTCCTTCAATCTCGACCACGTGGCTTCAATGTTGTTAGTATGAACTCCAGTAGTAGGGTCGACAAAATGACGTTTATGCACTACGACATGATGGACATACCCAAGTCTATGAAGGCATCTATACGCTCTCCAATCATCCGTATATACCGTAGTGCCCGGCTGCACATATTCCTGTATAATTGTACTTGCTTGCCGGTCTCTGACCCTCTGAAAATGCTCCTTTTGCGTTGATCGATCATAAATTCCACGTACCTGTCAAGTATATTTACGGAAGTGCTACTTACCCAATCTTCCTTGATACTACGTCCCCTGTTGTATTTTCGCCTTGTCACTACTGTTTTATCTATTTCCACAATACTTTCTACTTCGAATGATTGGTGTAGACGTGTCATTTTAAGCGCACATGTATCACGAAAATGCTCATACCACTGGACGACTGGAGTTTCAGTAACATCTGCAAACGCCACAGCTAGTGTTACTGGTGCCTTTATTATCCAATTTGCAACTATTATCATGATTTGCCTCAGTCGCGATCGAGCGAGGAAAGTCCCCGTCCGAGCAGAATTTTTCCTCCAACATAAAGAGCAACGAAATACAATCTTATCACGATAGTCTGCACACTGTACTGCAGTCATTTGATAACCGCATTCACAGGTGCAGGAACTTCTTAGTAGTCTCATCTCTTGTAGCCGCTCAATAATCATCTCTTCTCTGAAATCCGCTCTAAATCGATCGTATGTGAGCATCAGGTGTTGAACTTGGCTCCGTGACCTTGAAATTCCCCAAACGCTTCTGATTGGCTCGTCCATAAATTAGAGTCTCGCCGAGACGAGATAGCCAGATCAAAACGCATCATTAATTCATTTGATCATTACTTGGTAGTTTATAGTTTACAGGAATATATGTATATTCCCTCTAAATTCATTCCACAAGTAAGTTATGGTTAAGTAGTGGAAGAGATTTCAAGTGCTACCTGTAGATCGATTGATCTCCGTAAGGCAAATGCATTCATCTTTGCCTAACTCTTGAATAACTTATTATCCTGTAAATGTTATCTTTTATATTATGTTTCCTGGTCTTGTTTACTTCTATTCACAATAATAATTTGTTATGTGGTTACTTGGTTCGCTACACGAATAATAATTGCTTTTACATCTGTTCATTTGAAGGTGAGATATTCAATAATTCACGATTGTTTTTTCTTCTCAATTTCGACAAGAATCTGTATGAAATAGAAAAAAAAGAAATCATCAATAATTTTTATTTGTTTTATGCATAAATTCGCGCGCAACGCTCACTACTGTTGGAGACTGTTGGGAGAAAGTTAGGGGCGGCCAAACTAAAACATGGCATCTGTCACTGAAGTCATTAACTTCTGGTCTGAGCCTTGTTGGTAGATGTAGACTACTTGGTTGGGATTCGCGTGACTATCGTAATCAATGGTTAGAGATTCTGGGTGACATGGCCCAGAATCGGTCACAATGGCGTAGGTGCATGCACTATTTGTCTCTTAAACCATGAGATTAAAATTACTTTATACCTTTCTGTGAATTAATTCTTTCTTCATGCATTATATCCTTATACACAATGCTTCTTTTATATATTACTACAATTGAAGTAAACACTTCTGTGAGTTTGGTGATCATCTTGCTGTGCTGATGAGGTGTGGCAACTTGGACGGATGCATATATGTGCATGGACCTACGTTATAGCTGATTGACTGCATAAGATTTTTTTATTTAGAACATATTGTTTTATTACTCATAAATTACAAATTGAAATTTTGTTTTGTAGAATGCACATAGTTTATTAACTGTTTGTTTAACAACTGGTAATCAAGAATCAGAGACTTGTTTACTGGCACCAACATCTCTTGGAGGTAAGTAAAAATATGAAATGACTTTGATTATATAATATGACTATGTTTATTTTTGTCAGCATTTTCATACTTAATATATTGTAAATTGTTAGTTTTAATTGCAACCATTGTGGTCAAAGTAATGTTTAAGTTTATTTTCTCAGCCTATCGCTGTAATCAGTCATATTTCCCGGTTAAACCGCCGGGAATTCGTTTTTCGACCTCTTAATTTCGTAAACAAACACCCCCGCTGCCGGAAGGCAGTGAGTAGAACTTCCCTGACAGTGGCTGTATATCCGTAGTCACGTGGTCACAGTATAAACCAAATTGTATATTTTTATCCACTGCAACTGATAATTTAACAGATGACAAAAAGTTTATTGTTGTGACCTTATGTCCGGCTTTTTGTCACGTGATTTGTCCACCAATCAAAATACGACTTATACAATCTTCGCATTGTGCCAAACCAATCACGTTCGACCGGTATGGGCAGTCTAGCGTCCTTATTTATCCTATGTCCGCCTAGCCCGTCCACTTGAGTCCAGAATACCAATACCAGCTTCCAATATGCGACATACTGGGTTTAGATATCAACCAAACAGACCGCAACGTACCATGAAATAGGAAATAACATTTGTACACAATAAAGCCAAAAAGTGACTGTGAACATGGGAGGCAGTAGTCAATAAACTGAACAGCTTAAGAACAGTAAGTCGTACAATTATAAATTATAGGTCGAAATAAAGCTTATAATAAGAGAAATATAAGTGTACATAATCTAACTATTGAATAATTATACCATAAGAATGTATAGATAATATTAGTCAATTAATATGTCTCAGAAGTTACTCGTGATTCATTCTTCGCTCGGATATAACGTTTATGCTCAACAAAATAATACCACAGTCTATGTAATTACACATGTCTTGAGAATCGCCATAATTTTTCAGAAGTTATCTAGGATCTATCTAGGGATTCATTTTATTATTAGAGAAAAAATTGTAATCGTTACTTTGTAATCATACTTGTTAACTATTTTTCGATTGTCATTTAATCAGGGAATCGTCAATTGTCTGTAACATTATAATAATACTGCAATACACTTATTAAGTATCCATTTTGTTTTCATCTCCTTACTCAGAATCGCCTAATTTTATTTGTCAGATATAAGAAAGTTTGAGTTCTTGTACTTGGTAGATATGTTTAGTTTTTTTTTTAGAATTTAACCTCAGATCCCGATCGTTCTTACCTATATTGTTAACGTTTTACAGTTAAGTGTTAATAGTTAAACTACCATGATCTGATTTAAAAAACGAAATAACATTTTCCGGTCCGTTCACAGATCAAGAAGTATTATTATTCTGTCATGTAGTTTAGTAATCTTTCACACCGTTTGGTTTATAACTAATGCCTTATTTTAAAACTTTGAAGTTCTCTCTATGTTTGTCACTAAATGGATTACACCGTATTAAAAACTCGTCTTTCAATAATGATTATTCATGTGATGTAATTTTTTTAATCTGCTAGCGAAATAAATGCCTAAGTAGTGTTACTTAGTAGTTAAAGCATTAAACTAAGTGAGTGACATGTTTAAAGTTTTTTTCTTTGAACTGATTATCATTACAAGCTGTCAGACACTTCTGCTCAAGCTCATTATACTTAGACTACGTTATTGATTATACGTCTGTATAATACTAGTATCCATGGCTAATTTTTCAATCGCGCAAAAAAGATTTTATAGGATAGATTGATTGTGACAAACTTTGAAGTTACTGAGGCCAGTTATTCACTAACGTATATAATAGGTGTAATGTTTTGACCACGGATTAGTAAGAGTTTTACTAATCCTGTCGTTGATATTCATGATTCAAACGGTTTTGTTTCACACTGAAAGTACCATCTTAATTGAAATAATTAACATACTAAACGTCCTACTTATCTTGTGGTGCTGCAATAAATTTTATTTCTAACAGTTGGATTCACGAGTCCATCTAAGATAGACCATCATTGTAAGCCTGAAAGTATTGGACAGCTGTTTCTCCCCAGTATGGGACTCCTCAGCAGTGCGCATCCACGATCCCTCACTCGGGAACTTCACTCTCGCACTTCAACGCTTAACCTCTATACCACTGGACCGGCATTCAGTGGTGTTAATGTCTAACTTCAATCAACCCACGACATTTTGTGGCAATTTTTCTCAGATATTGTATTCAGCAGGAAACCCTTCTTGATTTAGGTCTAAAGCTAGTTGACACTTATCAGCAAGGTGTACTCACAGTTATAAAGGAACTTGGTGATACCTATAGAATTCGAACCTACGTCACCCAGCTTCACAACTTGAGACAATAGCATTCTATTCACTATTGAACACTTTAGAACGGAAATATTTCGTGTATTAGAATATCATTATAAAAATATCAACTAATCACTAGTCGGTTATTAATCGACAGACTTCAGTTGACGACTGTAATGAGATTAAATATATTATTATAACCCACATTTGAAAGATCAAGGTTTATTGCATAAAAGGTATTTGCTGATTTCTCTTATCCATTTATTCACTAATCATATAGGATGAATTATACTATTGTTTCACATTGAGCATCACAGTCATAGAAAAATTGTCAACTCACCGAAACCGAATTTGGTGCTTTAGACCCCACGATAATTGGGTTCTTTAATATGTGGTTCTTCATACTACACATATTCGACCACACATGCGATCCTCGATTCCTGTTCATAAACCAGTTTTAAAGTACAGTTTTACTGACTTGTTGCCTGCTCTAATATTTGAGTGGCAGTATTAAGAGTTCAAATATATTGATCAGAAAATCAGCATTACTACCATTCTCTGTCCTTAGGCATAACTAAATAAATAATTAGTTATGAACAGGATCCACATATCTGTCCATCACTGTAATTAATATGTTAACTAAAGTAGTTTTCTAGTAATCGTTTTTTTATTATTCCCTTATCAAATTGTGTTATTGTCACAAAACAGAATGAAATGGTATACTAGTATCATCCAGTGAACCTGATCACTTTTCTAGAAACTTGAATGATTATTATAAATGTATGTTCATACCGCTGTGTTGTTGTTAGGCTGTGTACTTTATCCACTGACCTTGAACTCTACATAATTATTATTTAGTTCAGAAGCTGATAGTTATATAGCGAGCAAATAATATCCTATCAAAGAAAACTATAAATCGTTTCATTTGGTAAATTATAAAATTTCATTTCACTTAGTTGTTTCTGTTTTTATTTTCATTTAATAACTTCTGTTCAGCTATTATTTTCTGATTATTATAAGTCATTCCAAGAGCTGTTGGTGTTGATTTCACGATCGAAGATATTAGTTTTATAGAAATTTCCAAAGTTCCAGCGTATATGATACGAAAATACGTTATATCACTTTTACTACTGCCTATGATCATTTGTGTAAATATTGTTATTTCTATATTTTTCCACAGATGAATTCAGTCTTTATTTTGTAACAAAGAACAAAGTATTTAAGAAAGGAACAGTCACTTAAATTTTCAACAATCTTTTAATCTATTTAATTGAACGGTTTCATATGTGTTTTAAGTACTCGATCCTTTAAACCGCAGAACTACAGACTTGTACCCTGTTGCATTTGTTTTGCTCTGAAAGTTCACCAGTAGAATTACTATCTCCTATTAAAAAATATGTCTCAAGGATCCCTGATTATAAATCCTTGTTTTATTAGTGTGTTACATCAGGCTCTCCAGATCATATTATTATTAACGGTCTTAAGTTTTATATTTCATCCAGCCCATTCATTCCAATCGATTGTAACATTCTTTTATTTTCATTGGGATATCCATGACTTGATAATCCTTTTTTTCAAGTTCATTTACGAAAACGAGTTATCACTGCATAATGCTTTTTAGATATTCATTTATTAACAATATGTTCAAATTCAATCCTATGGAGATCACGAACCGATCTGACTGTTGAAAATCTAGAAGCACCGTATAGTTGTTTTTTTCTTAGTGTGATGTCTGTCTTCAGTGCACATCCACAACCCCTTCATTGGGGATTGGATCTAGGACCTTCAGTTCTCGAGGTGATCACTTAACCTTTAGACGTCACTGAACCAGTATGCAGTGGTTTGCATGTCTGACCTCCATCAATCCACGATATTACTTGACTATATTCCGTTGAATACGGTGAATACTTTTCACATTCGATACGGATTGAACTCCCCTGGTCACCTCATCTTGAATTGCACCTTAAAGCTAGTCGATGGTAAACAAATGATTATTATTAGTATATTTGGGTTTGTGAAGCTTGTAAAATTGTTGGTAGTCAAATCACTAGCTGATCTTACCTAGACCGTGATTGTAAACCAAGGAGCACTCGAAAACTGTTTTGGTCCATTACGAGATTCCTCAGTAGTGTGTGGGGATGTTTTATCTTTAAGACACTGAGCTGGCATCCAATGGTGTACAAGTCTGACTTTAATCAATCTATAAATTGAATAAAATTCAACAATCTCCACAACCCCATACTGACAAATCGATTCACTGTCTATAACAAAACTTTGAGGATGCTAGAACATATATAGTGATGAATGAGAAAAATTTGAATAGTATCCCTGTTTACCTTTATTATCCTATTTTTTAAAAAAAGTTTTTACTATTCAACATGTAAGTGTTGGATAAAATTACCTTAATATTAATGTGATTACCTATAAAAAGTCAAGCTTCAATTTGTGTTTTCTCACTTCAGTATTTTCTGTAGTAAACAAGGTCAAAAGTGTTCATTTTACTGTATGAATTCCATAATTTCAGTATTTAGTGTTGGGGATGCAATATAGATCAAATTAATCAATAAGTCTTTAACGGTAACTATTAAGAAGTCCAGTTCAATTACAGTATATTGTGTAAAATGATACAGCACTACTTTCTAGCGCTTAGTAACTTGAAGTAAAATTTACTATCTAGTTTATGAAGTAATATGGTAATTGGTGTATTTTTTTATTGAGATATAATATCTTTTGGTCGAAGTTTCCCAATTCATTTAATTTATCATGTGTTAACGCTACGGCTTCTTATGACGATATTTAAGTCAATTGTATGAATAGATTAATTATTGTGTTGGTTACGTACAGAAATCTAGTTCCTAGTCATATTGTTACCGTAACTCTATTTTCATTCTCATTCTATTTATAGTTCGATCAACATCAATTTGGTTAGGCAAATTAGCAGGTTATTTGGTTAGCCTATCGATAAAACGTTGTCCCCCGACACATCGATCTATCCAACAGTTGGATCAAGAATTAATGAATGAAGTCAATCAGTCACGAAGTCGTCACCAAAGTCGTGGTTCATCTATTTCGAATACTTCCAGTATACCAAATGATTTAAACAGTCTAATTGAAAATGAATTTAACACCACCAAGTGTTGTGCTGAAAGTGTCTGTCCAGAATTGTCCGAGTGTACGAGTACCGCTGTACCGAAATCGGATAATGATGGTAGGTGAAGATTAGATAAAACCCATTGTTTTTTCTCTATATATACCAGTTTATTTTTCAAGCACCGTATATTACTTTATAAGAACTAATTTGTAGTAGTTCTGAAATTCATTCCTTTCAATAAATTTGACTAGTCACAAGTTCGTTTATATATCTAGCTTGTCATTAATTCTAAAAAACAAGTTCCCACTTTATTGTGTGCAGAACTCATTATACTAGATTTAATATATATATTTTGTCCCATTGCTAATATTTTCAGGTATACATATCCTAATATGTTGGGATACTTACGCTGAAGTTTGTAGACAGTTAACGCTTATTTTGAAAAGTCGTTGCTGAGTCATAACATATAGTAAGAGTTCTGAATTGTTTCTAGGTGCGGTTTGCTGATTTCACTGTGTGAAGAGAAACTGAAAGTCTGGGATATAAATAACTTTCAGCGAAGAAACATCACTTTGCGAACATCTGAAATCGGATGTAAATAATGAGCCATGTGAAGTAGTACGCAGCTGTCCTACCAGAAGTAGTTATAAGGATATGGTTTAAACTGGTGACCATATGCCTGGTAAGTTCATTATTTGTCCACATCCTGATTTATTATCAGTACACTTAGCCATAATTGGTAATCCTCCAGGTTTCTAAAGGTAATAAATTTATGGTTTAACTGTTATACATCAGTTTATTTCAAAAACAACTTAAATCCATAACATGATTTATTCTATCGACTTTACTGAGAGGTGGTATCAGCAAGGAGTTTCTAACGGCTAACAAGAAGCATCCACCTTCCATCAGATAATATGAGATATCAGAAAATATCGGCCTTAAAATATCAATATCCCTTCTTGTTCTTTGGATTCTCGGCTCCGAATTAAAATGGTCGTTCTCCATCAACTTCAATTGTTTAGCTTCTGTAGTCACACTCTGATCGGCAAAGCCGTCACTTCTGACCCACCCTCTTTATTAGCTCCCTTAAAAAGAAATTGCCTTGTGCAGTGAAAACTTCCAAACATCTAAACGCCCCTAATAGAGCACCTCATGGTTTTAAGTGTTGGGAGTATAATTTCTTTACTCAATTAATTTATTATTATACACTTAAAATCTTATATATCTAGAAGATTTTTCCAATTTTTTAGAATTTTTGCATAACATGCTTAATCAGTCATTCGCAGCTGTCAAAGGGAAAACATTGTTGTTAGTAGTCTTGTTAGAGTTATGAAGTCCGTTTAAATTTCGTTAAGTAATTTGATTTTTTTCTTTTCGACAACCCGAGATAATAGAATTCTGTATTTTTACGGACAAAAAGAATAATCTTTATGCTTCGACATTTTATCAGTTATTTATATATGTATATAGGTGTGTTAATGTATTCGTATCTTTTTTCGTCGTGATTTTTTTTCTATTGTTTCATATGTTTTTTCATCAAAATATTAGATGAAGTAACCCGTACAGTAACCGGCAGTTCTGCTTCAAATTTAGCGCGAGCCATTGTTGGATCGTCTTTACTTCATCAATCATTCACTGATCAAGTCTATCAAAGTGAAATTCTCTGCATTAGTCATAATGATGGTACAGGCCAGGATTTCCCATTACGTATGTTAGAAGCTCGGTCAAGTTTTGGCATTGGACAATTGAGTTGTAATTCAAAGCATTACATTGCAATTATTGGCGGTTATAATCGTAAAGGTTGTTTAGATAGTATGGAATTATTCGTTGAAAACAATAGTAATCCGCAGTATGAATCATGTAACGATGAAGATTCACCTGTATCTCCTCCTATTATTGGTCCACGACTGACAAAACAGAGAGGTCGGTTAGCTGTAGTATCCAGTTACTTACAATCATTTTCTGATTTTCCTGATATAATTTATGCTTGTGGTGGTTCGACAGGCTCCAAGGATTTAGCATCTGTAGATAAGTGAGTTAGTTATTCTATTTTGAATATATACATTCTTTGAAAATGTTATGCTCTAAATGGAAATCATAATAGATGCAAGGATTTATATTGGCAGTAAATGTTGGTTGACGCTCAATGTTCACGTGCTTAGTCTGTTAAGCATTGCTTTATAAATCTACGCACAACATTTTTGTGTATACGTATTTTCAGCAGATATTTTCTGGTTTGAATTACAGGGTTACAATGATTGACAAGAGACTTGAGGCCTTTCTGTTTCGAACGTTAAGAAAGTTTCCTTTTGTGTAGTTCCTATCTCGAATTCCGAAAACCTACTACTAAGATTGAGAAAACCATAACTTACCCAATTGGCTTGTACACTTCTGACCCTGTTATACTTCTTCCTCCGAACAACAGTTTTATCAATTGCCAAGATTCCACCAACGCACTATCGTACCGCAAAATTGTTAGATGAAAAATCGATAAGAAGAGGTTCATTCTTAAGATATTCTAAAATCGCATCGAGATAAATCACTCTAATTGTTGTCCAGTGGATTTTGGAATGAACAGTGGCTCAAGCAGCTGCCCTAAGTGATATAACAAAAGTAACAGCAATACAATAGTATCAGTACTGTCGGGATATTCATTCTGTAATGCTAACGAATCTAAACCTGTCTTTCAGAGGCGTCGGCAACCGATAAATTTGTTGTTCGGAGGAGGAAGTATAACAGAGTCAAAAGTGTGCAAGCGAGTTGGCTAAGTTATGGTTTTCTCAATCTTAGTAGTAGGTTTTCGGAATTTGAGATAGGAACTACACAAAAGGACACTTTCTTAACGTTTGCAACAGAAAGGCCTCAAGTCTCTTGTCTGTCGTTAAACAGTATGTACAACCAGGAACAACAATCTACACAAACAATTGGAGAACGTTTCAGTGTCTTCACAGATACGGATATATTCATCACGTGATGATATACAAGCATAATTTTGTAGATCCAACGATTAGTGTTCAAACTAACAACGTGGAAGCTATGTGAAAACAAGTGTAAAACTTTCTTCAACCTTATAAGGGATCTACAGGTCAAATGATATGAAGGAGTATATATATATAAATATACCTAGCACATTGTGACAAATCTTGAGAATCCAGAGATTCTAACTAAGTTCATCAAACATATGGAAGCCGTGTATACATTCTAAATTCTTCGATTATTCCACATTGATTTATTCAGATGTATCAACTGTATTCTCGTTGGCTTTAAATTAAAGTTTCTCAAGGGCGTCAATATACTACACTTTTGCCACAAATATCAGAAACACTGCCCACATCTTGAGGTTCATTTCTCTCAAAATCTATAAATTATATTTCGAACCGATCTTCATCTCTCTTGGTAGATATTAGACTGTGAAATCTTCACAATAAGAAAAACTCTTTTTTGTCGAATTGTAAAACTTATAATGTTTGGATATCATATAGTCGATATACTGTCTAACACTTCATTTTCTAATTTTCTCCAGTGGTTTAACTTGCCCTATAAGAGAGAGGAGAACATACTTTTCAGTTGTTAGTATTCGATCACACTTATGAAATTATGCTTAATAAACTATCAGGGAAGATATAGAAATTTAAGATCAAGCTAAACAATTTTTCTTAAATTCAACTTGTGATTTGTTAGATAGAACCTTAACCTGTTGTAATGATATGATTTTTTTCTCTTCTCTCGTAACAATAGGATATATTTAATTATTTTGATCCTACTCAAACATAAATCCTATTGTTTATATTTAATGGTAGACTGCCTAATACACTGGTTTATTTAAATATAGTCCCAACTTTTGCAGATAAACAAGTCATTGAGTACTTCCAATTTGTTTGAATATATATATTCTTCTGTTCTTTTCTTCCTAGTGACATTTATCTTTGAATTAGTAATTGTCTTGTTTGTTTGTTTGAAAGTAACATCAATGAGATCTTCTCTAAACGTTTATTCATTATTTAGTGAATCAGTTTATTCCTTTGTTTTTTCTCTTCCTTTTTTTTCTTAACTCAAACATTCCTTTCCTTAATAAAAATGACTTGAATTCAAAGCCATTTGACCTTTAAAAAAAAATCTGTATAATTTGTTGTCAATAAAACAACACTTTCAACACAGATCAGTAAAATAACTATCTAATTTATAATTGTAATATAATTTTTCTATGGTTTTACAAGTTTACGCAATTGTATCAATCCAATTTGTCTCATATATTTGTTTTTTGAAAATATATTTTCGCGGGTAAATGAGATCATAAACTGTCGTTTATGTGCTAAAACTATTACTCTTATTATCTAGGTTCTAATGGAAGCGCCAAACACCTCTGTAAGAAATTGTTGTATTTGAAATAAGATAGTCAAATAATTTTCTTTTCTTTTCTAATCTAACAAAGATACATATACTTATAGAGTTGTATGTTTTGTAAAGAGGCTTGACATATTGAATTTCTACTTAAGGTAACAGACAGATAGATTTTATTAGTGTAAAGGGGCTTTGATGGTTGTTGAGTTTTATGGTTAAAATCAGGAACTGACCTTAGTTAAAAAAACCATTGGGTGCTGAACAACTAATTTATCCTAAGGTAGGACTTTTCAGTGATAAGCTGTGTAACTGGGTGTGCAGACTGTGTTGTGATTCGCACGATAATGGTCACAAATAGCTGTAGACGTTAGTTCACAATGCTCAGCATCATTCTCAATTGCACAGGTTCATTCACTCACTACCTTTTCATAGATCCTTAGTTTCTTAATTATTTTAGATCTCTTTTATATCATGAATCCGTACTTTCTTCTCGAACCTATTGTAATATTCTCACATCTCTCTGTGCTAACGGTCTGTAGCAACTTGATCCAATGTACATATATACCATATTCTGAGTTTTATATGACTGACTGACCTTACTGTGGATCGAACCCAAAACCTTCAGGTCTGTTGATGGTCGTCTAACTTTTAGAACACTTAGTCGGCATCCACTGGTTTACGTTGTTTAACCTCAATCAGTTTGCAGCCATCTTCCAGTGGCTCTACTGGATAATTGCCTTAGTTTTTTTTACTACAATTTACTGGTTAATTTCCAGATATCCATGTTTTCTTTGTGAAATTCATATCAACTTTAACTTCGAAGTAATTTATTCAGCAATTTGTCTTTATGCCCTACGTTCATCATGTCATATTGTTTAAGTCATATAGCTTATCCTTTTTTCGATTCGTACCGTTTTTATATACGTTTGTAGACTAACATGTGAGGCACTGGGATCCTGGCTTATCAATCATGAAGTGGTAACCAAAAGCCATCATGATAACTTTGACGAACACGTGTATACAAACGGCTCTCGGAAAAGTTCTGATTTCCGTACACGAACAGATTCAATAGCACATAGTCATGCGTCTTCAAATGGATGTGGTCTATCAAATGTTACATTTTGGCAGACGATAAAGAGTTTACATGAAGCTCGAACTAATCCAGTTGGTGTAGATCTTAGTGGACTTCAACAAGGACCGCTTATCACAAATACAAAGGGGTCAGTCCTTGTTGCTGGCGGAGTATCAGACGCACAGTTTCTATCTTCTGTTGAAGCCTACATTCCAGATAGAGATGAATGGATTTATATGCCATCCATGTTACAAGGTACGATAATGCCTTAGCAAGTTTTATTAGATTTCCATTGCAGAAATAATACAGTCATTGTGAAATATAATTATTACTTTGTATGCACTGATTTCATCATATTTATTTTATTTTTAAGTGGTAGTTTTCAATAGCTCTAACTGTTTGAGAATTCCAAAATATTTGTACAAAACAATAAGGGCTCAGAAGACTCTTGGAAACATTTTATCCGACGAGGATTGAATAGAGGTATCTTCGAAACACCTAGAAGGATGACAGATCACGTGTCAGTTTTTTTGGTCGGATAGGAACTTTCTTGATGCTATATCTAGCATGATTTAGAACTTTCTAAACGATCAAGATTACATTAAATAGTATAAAGACGTACGATTTTCCATACATTCCTTAACTTTAAACTCAAGCTTTTTTTTCACTTGTGTTCAAGTAGTCCCATAGATGATTTAGTTTGCGATTATTAGTGGCGGATAAGAAATTGGATCGAGGGTTTAATGATCAAACTTATCATCAACCTCAAATGTCATATCTTTTACTCATTTGGATCATTTTTTTAAAAAAATCGTTTCGTATCAGAGGACTATCAAGAAAATTTAACGTATTCCCGTTATTGATAAATGAATTATTTGTGATCATACTATAGAGGACTGTTATAGTCAGTATGAAATTAGTGTTTATATAATTAATCCAATGAAAACCGACTATTGTTATGTGTCGAATGCTTTGGGCACCCGGGCAGTATCACAGCCCTCACACATATCGAATGAGATTTGTGTGGCGCATATGTATTTGGTGCCTCCTTGTACAAATATCTATGTGTTAAAAATAAATAAATGAATAAAACAAACTGTAATTAACTTATCCCATAAACGAAGTCTAATCGAATCGTGCATATTTCTTTCTGTGACAAAACTGTATATTTGAAATAGAAATTCCATTGATGCAATGAAACAAAAAAAGGAACTTTCAAGTTTATTGTCATTGACAAAACATAAAATCTTCTCCTTCTATATATTATGATGTGATTTGATCTCAAATAAGTTTGTTTATAAGAATAAAATCCATTATCTCTCAAGATAACTTTTTCCAACTAGGAATTACTTTCTTACATTCATTGAATAAATATTATTGTAGCTAACAAACACTCATTATTTAAAAATGAATTTCCCATAGAATGGATATAGTTACATTATAATTGAATTATTGATAATCTGTTTTTTTTTCTCTGTATAATTAAAATAGGTCGTTGTGAAGCATGTGCTAATGTTTTGACCTCACGAAATCTCATTGTTGTTATCGGTGGAGTTGTCAATACAAACACTATGTATAATACTAGTCAAAATGTAACTGTTGAAGCATTAGATCCTCGTTGTGATACTTGGTTTTATATTCCTAATACATTAGGCAATTCATTCGGACAACTTCGTGGTGCCAGTTTAACATATTGTCCGAATTCTAAAGGTCAGTATATTCTATTTTAAATCTTATTTATTTATTATTTATTTGAGAACCAGATACATATGCACCACATCGAGGTAGATAAGTGATGTTGTATATAAATAAATAGTAATACTAATAAAGGTGAATTTGAAATGTCTGAATTCTGATCGGAGCGAGCATAGTATTTTGTGAAATAATTATAATCTCATCGAATTCGCGTGAGGGCTGTGATACTGCCCGGGTGCCCAAACCGAAGCAGGTGGTTTTCTTAGAGGGCCACACCCCGAGACTTTGACCGAGAGGTCTGACCCACATGGCAATCAAACAACGTAAGGAGATGTATTCCCACGGTAGCCGATGACCAATAATTGGTTCATACGTCATATATCCCCTTAGGATACTGAAGCCTATGTGCATCATTGGTTTGGAATCAGAGTTTCCCAACTCCCCTAGGTTGATCCTCTGTGTCCACGAACCTGGTTAAAGCGCCGTACATTCGCTTTTCGTCCTCGGAATTTCGTAAACAACAGTAATGCCGCGAGAAGGCAGTGAGTAGGACTTTCCTGGCAGAGGCTATATACGCGTGACCATGTGAGAGCATTTCGAGAGAGACAGCGGACTCTCCCCACTCTCGGCTACACCGGGGCATTTGGGGGAATTTTAAATCTATACAAATTTAAATAAACAAATAGTTCATATTTATTCGAATACAAATAGAAACATTTCAATGTTTCATTAGTGAACTATTATGATTTAACAATAAACAAACTAATTTCTTAGTATACAAAATCAGTTATTTTTCTTAACAAAGAATTTTTTTCTACCCAAAATTACTTAATTAGAACATACTTATGTAATGAACTAACTTCAATTAGAAATTCTTTAAAGTTTTCAATAAAACTTTGAAATCGGTTTAATTTCATATTAACTGATTAATTTTCTCTAATAAATCACCATTCTTTCACTTTTGATCATTTTTTTTAAAAATTTTTATTTGGAGAGTAGAATGATTTTTTGTTTGTTTTGTTCCTGGTTACAATTTTAAACTTGTCTGTCTAATTATTAGAAAAGTTGTTTTACATTGATTGCTCTCTCTCTCCCTCTCGACCTATTTTACTGTTGTGTAGTTGACAAAAAATGGTACTAACTGTTACATAACTAAAAGTTTCAAATGCATAAATCTGTACTGAATAAATAAATTCGGTTAACTTATGGATTTAATAGGGTTATATCTTCTAAGTTACATGGTTAAATGATAGAGCTTTCATTATCTGTCTTAGCAACAACATCGTCAGCGCCTACTATTCATCCATTTAAACTTCAGATCTGCTTCTTCTTCGCTAACTTATCTATTTAAATAATCAGTTTACTATTATATCCAATTGTATACTATACCATTCGTTTGTTACCTTTTAGCTATTTTATAAATTTTAGTTACTTTAGTATTTTTTTCCCTTTTATGAAATTTATTCATCTTTTCGCAAATCTTACAGTGAAACATTCATCATTTTGTTTATTTCTCTCTGGAGGAGAATTTTGTTCATTCCAGTTCATTAAAGTTCACCAGTGATCAATTAAGTTGATCATATATACATATATAATAAGTAGTGTTTATCAGTTTTTACAAAATAGTTTATGTTTAAATCAATCGGACTGTATAAATTATAATTACACAATCTATTCAATTTAATAATCATTCAATTTCTCTTTTTTTCTCTTTAAGACAAATACATCGTCATTTTGTTTAATTTTAAATTGGTTGATTAAAACACAGACACTGTCTACAGTATATTACTTACATACTAACGTGTATTACTCCTTGTGGAAGATTGCAGGCTGCCCACTAACATTCTCCATCGAACTCTCTCTTGAACAATCCCTTCAAGTTGCTATTCATCCTTTTCATATCTGCTTCTATTTCCCGACAAAAAGTGTTCTTTGGCCTTCCTCTTTTCCACTTCCCTTCACCATTCCAAGTTAGCGCTTAACTCATGATGCAGTTTGGTGATTTTCTCAATGTATGTTCTATCCACCTCCAATGTCTTTTCCTAATTTCATTTTCAGCTGAAAGCCAGTTTGTTCTCTCCCACAATAGGCTGTTGCTGATGGTATCCGGTGAACGGATATTGAGTATGTTGCGTAGACAACTGTTTATAAATACTTGTACCTTCTTAATGATGGTTGTAGTAGTTCTCCAGGTTTCAGCTCCGTATAGTAGGACTGTCTTGACATTCATATTGAAGATTGTGACTTTGATATCGGTTAACAGTTGTTTTGAGTTCTATATGTTCTTCAACTGTAGGAATGCTGTCCTTTCTCTTTGCCAGTCCTCACCTTTACGTCTGTACCAGATCCTTCTTGTTTATTGATAATACTTCCCAGGTACGTGAAAGATTCAACATCTTCCAGAGCTTCTCCATCAAGTAAGATTGAGTGGGTGTTCTCCCAGTTGTATTTGAGGATCTTGCTTTTCCCCTTGTGTACGTTAAGGCCTACTGCTGCTACACTGTTTGTCTTGACCTGACCTGCATTTGCTAGTGTGTTTGCGATAGAAAAGCTAGGTCATCTGCAAAGTCTAAATCGTCTAGTTGATTCCGAGCTGTACATTATATTCCGTACCTACCTTCCGATGTCGAGGTCTTCATCAATCACTCAAGCACCAGAAGAAAGAGAGGGGGAGAGAGTAAGCAACTTTGTCTGACTCCGGTGACCACAGTATAGATATCTATTAATTTTCTCCGTCCTGAGCTTAGACAAAAAAGATGATCTCTTATGTTTTAACTAAACAACTGTAACCTAAGATTGTGATGATTTAAAAACAGCATCATTGATTTTTTCACATTAGCATTAGTTTAAGTTCTTTCAACTGGATTCTACTTTTGTCAAATTTGTAGATTGTCTTGTGAAATTGATAAGTTTTGTTTTTTATAATATAAATAGTATTCTTTCGACTGTTACTATTACTAATATTGCTATTACTATGGTGAAGAATCTGTCAGTGGAACATGATATGTACCCAAACGCTTTCCTTACATATATGAAGTTATCATTTGAGTAATATATATAGATATCATTCTGAATCTATGTAAAACAATTGAAATATGTATTCATTCCTCCTTCCTTTCACAAGATAATAGCTATCTAAACTAAATTGAATTGAATGACCTAATAAAAAACAATTCTCTATTAAATCTCTAATATAATGATTGCATAAAGTATATACGTTAATTTAATTTCTTAAAAACTATCCTTCATTGTTCATAATGAAAAAAAACTTTTGATTATTTTAATGTATGAAGCACATGCCAACATTAATAATCATAACAACAATTATTATTATTATAGGTCGAATAATAATAATAATAGTGATAATAATATACTTCAATGTGATATTCGCTTTATATACTAAAAACCAATTAAGAATTTAAAGTGCTCTATTATTAACTTTCTGAAATCATCTAATTTCATAAAGTAAATTAAGAGTATGGAGTTATAGATGTTATAAAGTTTTTACAGATTTTACATCATCAACTGAGTGACCTTTTCATCCCTATACTGGACTCCTCAGCTGACACCCATCCATGATCATGCACGATAGAATCGAACCAAAGAACTTCAGTCTTCCATGCGAACACTTAACCTCTAGACCAGTGAGTCAGAACGCAACGGTGTTAATGTCTAACTTTAATCAATCCGTGACACCAGTCGACCATCTTCCATCGTCCTCGGTAGGTAATCGCCTCACATTCAACACAGTTTAGCTTCACTGGTCTTTACTTTGTAGGTGCGCATTGCTGAAAAGTCCCATACTAGGATTGAACGTCTATTTAGTGCTTCCATATTTTCATTGGGGGGTCTGTTTTATTTTATTTTACTTGAACACATTTATATTGGTACAGGAGTGCGCCAAATATATATGCGCCACACAATTTCAGTTCATTAATTGCGTGTGGGCTGCGATACTGCCCGGGTGCCCAGACCGAAGCAGGTGGTTATCTTAGGGGGCCACTCCCCGAGCCTTTGACCTAAAGGTCTAACCCACAAGGCAGTGGAGCATCGTGAGGAGATGCAGTCCCATGGTAGCCGGTGACCGAAAATTGGTTCATACGCCATTTGTTCCCACAGGATACTGGAGCCCATGTGCACCATTGGTTTGTGATCCGGTTAAAGAGCCAGACATTCGCTTTTCGTCCTCTCATCTTTGTAAACAACACCCCTGGTGAGAGAAGGCAGTGAGTAGGACTTCCCTGACAGAGGCTGTATACGCGTGGCCGTGTGGGAGTATTTCGAGGGGTAGAGCGAACCCACCCCACTCTCGGCCATACCAGGGCGTTTGGGGGCATTGGGGAGTCTAACCTAGATTGGTTCATGATATCAACACCATTAAATTAAATTTAACCAAGTCTTTTAGCTACACGTTTTGTTCTTTTTTGTATTGTAGAAAGTATGAAGAGTAGTGATATTGACATTCCGTTTGCAAGTCAAATACCGTTTGACCCTCACCATTATACTCATCATTTATTATTTTTGTGCGGAATCAATTCATTAGTTTTAAGGACAATTAGGAGTAGATAACATTTTCGATAATCGATGTGACTCTGTTTTTGGAACCAAGCTCAATTATACAATGTTAATTAAAGACATGATACAGTTACACTTAGAATCTCAAATTATATTAACATCCACTCAAGATCATATCAACTAACATGTTTTACAATCAATGTTACGTTTAACAAGTGTGTAATGTTTATTTCAACTTGTTTTAAATAATCGGGGTTTTTTTATGAAGTGAAGTTTTGTTGTTAGAATTTCGTCATATTGTTAACTTTTTCTCCATATTGACAAACTTATTATTTTTCTTAAGAATTAGAATTACTTTGTTTTGAAGCAGTGATTCATGTTACATTTGTCTATTTTTGCAGTTCTGTTTAGTCGGTTGGCATGAATTCGTATTCCTCAGGGGATTATCAGTTCCCTCAAAATGTAAACTAGCTCTAAACCCTAGGTTAAGGAGAGATTTATATTAATCTTTCGAAAATTTATATCATACAATTATTTTTTTCATTTCGGTGTTTTTATTTTACAATCTATAGATAATTTGCTATTAGTTGGTGGATATAATGGTCATGAAACGTTAGATACTACATGGATATTTGATTCAGTTGCTTGGAAATGGCGTTCAGGACCAAATTTAATATTTGCTCGTTCTAGCTGTTGTACAACATTGACATCAGATCAACGTTATAATTTAGTATTTGGTGGTTATAATCCATTGAAATTTAACACTGGATTTTCAGATACAATTGAAATGATCTTCTAAACAAAATAATTATTTTTCTTACTTTTTTGTTATTCTGTTAGTCTTTTTATGTTATTACTTCATTTGTTTGTGTTTTTGTTTTTTCTAATCCTTAATCACACTGAATGGCGTTACCGGTTCTGTTTGGTCTCATTATATTATACTGTTGTTTATACCTCTCATTTGTGTATGTCTAGCTATCGAAATGTCTATGTCAGTAGTGTTCACATGGTATGTCACTATTTTATGTTTTGAAGGTAATTTCACATGACTTACACACATACACACTGTCTATGTATGTATGATACATATTTGTGTGATAAAAAAGTTTTATGTGCGTGCACACTTTCTTTTGTGTACTAGAGTTTTTATCTTTTCTTCAATTTTACCAGTAGTAGACTATTTCATCATTCATCTGCACGTATATTCATCAATAACAGTAAATAAAATATTGTAGACTGTAATTTGATTTGCCACTCATACATAACCGGGTATCGTATATATATTCAAGCTGCCATACCGTTTCGATGTAGCGATGTCAATCTAGTAAAACCAATTGTATAGTAGTCGAAGTAGTACTGTAGCGTATGCTAATTATGTCGATAGACGTAAGTAGTATGTAACATAAATCGGAAGTGGAAAGACTAGCAGCAGAAGGCTAAGGAGATTGAGTTGAAGCGAACTGAATGAATAATAGAAAGGAATTGTACACTGGAAGAATCATACAGAAGTGTGAAGAAAAATGATGAAAATTTGCAAGTGAAGTATGCATATTTTACCAGGATATTCTGTAGCGTTGTATGAAACAATGAATTGGTTGTCCCTACCTGAGTTCTCGTTCAAAGTGGTAACGGTATTCATAATAAATATGAAAAGAAATAGTAGAACTACAGAACAAAGAATGAGTTTGTGGATTGAAATGTATGAAGCAATTCTTTAATTTTGAATTGAAGCGTAGACAACTAACAGATAAATTAGCATCACCCCGAACATTTATAAGCTGAATCACTCAGTCTCTTAAAAAGTCGATCACAAAAGTCGGATGGTCTGCACAGTTCGGCAATAAATAATCTCATAAACTAATTCTACGTCTTCGTTTTCCTGCTCCTAGCTTCTGTCTAACCTCTTTCTACAACAGAAAACATGACTCGTTGAGGTAGGCAGTGCTCTGGCATACATAACACATGTCCTAACCACCTCATTAGTCGACACACCATCTTCACCTAATACCACGCATCTGACTTCACTTCAATGTTGCACACTCAATGGCCCTACATACAACAGTACTGCTATGAAGACAACCATAATCAAACACTAGTAACCCGTGAAAGTCCTATAAGCTCACGGGAAACATTTCACAATCATAAAAGTAGAACAGACCGAAATGCCATTTAGTACATCATTCCTTGTCTGGCAGATGGACATCTATCTCACTCACGTCATATATGAAGCGGATTTGAAAATGCCAAGAGAGCTGTTTGAATCGGTGTCGATATTTCGTAAAATACCAGTGGGTACCACTGATGAGACTTCGGAGAGATGTGAGGTGATCGAATCATCCAAACTACTTCATCATATATTGTTAGGTTAGGAGTTCACTCAGACCAGTCATGAAGCAACATTCTGTGCTTAGTCAGCGTTCTCGTGAAACAGAACCATTATGAGAGTCTTTAATTCCTTAGTTGGACAGATTATTCACGAAGCTTTATGGGTCAAGAGAATAATCTGCTAGACAGTTGTGGAGAAATCTTAATAAGCCACTACTTATAGGAGTGTGCGCTCATGTTATACTTAACGACTCAGTCATTTCTGTCCTTCGTTTTCTAGCATCTGATATATCATGTATCACTTAATTAATTTTCTGAGGTTGAATGGTTATTATTCATTCTTACGTCTGAGGTTGGTTGGACTACATATTAGTAGTCTATAAGCTTATATTTTCTTTTGTATCTGTAGTTACATGGGAAATATATGTGTCTATAGAAGGATAGAAAATTGATTCTATACTCATTATTAGATGCGGTTACACAGTTATCAAGAGATTAGAGAAGAATATGAAGATGAAAATAATTTCTGGGTGAAATAATTGTCCAATTGACTGATATGAAGAAAAAAAAACATAAAAGTCATAATAACAATAACTGGTTACAGTTTAAAATTACAAAACACTAATTTATAGAAATTAATAATGATGAATGAAAAGAAAACACTATAAAAGGAAATTAGGACCAAGGAAGGATAAGAGTTTGGACGAATCGTTTTTGCACTCAAAGTTCGGGTTTGAGTTGATGGATTGCCTATGCCTCAGCAGTGTATAAAATATTGATTCGACTTCCCTTCGATCCAGTTCCTTTGGCTGTAGATTATTTTAAAAGAAGACTACTTTGGAGAGATGTATCCATAGTTGATTAAATGTCCCTGTATAGAACTAGTACTTGTTTTACATTCTCCTTTTAAAATCCACGCCGGTTAGTATTCTAGGATGAGTTTGGGAAGTGATCGCTTCGTGTGGCCAATGTAACCTGCTCCACATGAGCAAATTTATAGATGCACATTGATGTGTTCCTTAGCGGAAGTTTATCCTTAACACATCCATGAATGGTAGGCCGGCTTGAGTAAACAATTCGGAGCTTAGCGGAGTTGAACGTTTTACTCAACGGTTTCAAAAGCCGTCTAAGTTTTTAGCGGCCGTACCTCTTTTAGATTCCATGTTCATAAAAAGTTTTCTTTTGTACTGTCGGTGCTTTTTCAGGATTAAGTCTAGGTGTTAAGTTGTTTTCGATGAATCTAGGTGGGTAACCATTCTTTATGATTGTGTTGAAGTAGTTCCTCATCTATTATGTCAGTAAAACATATTCGTCTAATCCTTGAGGATAAAGAGTGAATTAAATTCCTCTTTCTACTCAGTGCAACCCAACTATTGAAATTTTTGTACTGCTTATTACAAGTCGGTTTTTTATATATAAATCGCTGTAAAAAAAACTATCCGACCTTCTATTGAATCGAACATCAAGAAAACGTAATTCATTGTTTGCCTCCACTTTCAAAGTCAATTGAATTGAGGGGTGATAAATATTGGAACTATTCAAAACTCCATATCTTCACAAATAATGCAAGTATCATCCACATATCTCTTATATAAATGAAATCTCTCAATTATTGGTCCAAGTACCCTATTTTCCAGATTGGCCACAAATCAATCAGCCAAGAGAGGACCAAATCAAGAGACCCATTGCAACTCCATCTGTTTGCTTGTAGAAATCATAATTAAATCTAAATTGCACATTGAGAATACATCATAGAAGTAGTTCTTTTAGATAATATTTTGGGATACAAATATCAAGGTTATTGTTTTCAATATAGTCACATGAAAAACATAGTTTCTGTGTGAGGAACATTTGTAAAAAGAGAAGTGACATCCAATGAGATCATTTTCTTCATATCTGTCAAATGGACAATTATATAACCCGTAAATTATTTTCACCTTACATTCCTTCCTTATCCCTTGATTTGATAATAAGAGTCTCGAATGTATTTATGATGCAACCTTTTCTATCCTTCTATAGACATATATTTCGATAATGCAATAAGAAGACAAAGATTATCAGAACTATGTAATGATGTTTGTCCTCTACTCTTATTGGGTCACTTGATTCTGCAACCATTTTGGTACATGTACCACACACTAATTTTGAGATCACAGGCCATAAGATTGATCTTAACTCGGCTTTTGTGGTGTTGTATAAAGGTGTAAAAGGGCATCTGCTAAGGTTTATTGAAGCCTTAGCCATACGAAAATTCAAACCCCATCTACGTATTTATCAAAAATAGTTTGTTCTCATCTTAAATCTACCCTGGTAATATTAGCTTGTTATCCAGAGTGAGGAGATTTCAAATTGTTTTCATATTTTTTTGACTGAGATCATGAACCGATTGATGTTAGACCACCATTGAAAACCTGGTGGTCTAACATCAATCGGTTAATGATCACAATCTAAAACTTAACAATCTCCACAACCCCTAAACTGATAATTATCAAAATGTGTCATATTTTCAATCAATGTAATCACTTTCCATTATCAATAAACATTAGGTTACTAAAATCACTAATGGACGAAATAAAGCTCAACATTTCACTGATAATTAGATGAGCTAATTATTTCAAGATAATACATTTTGAAAACATTCATTGTAAGCGCAACTTATCAGTCAATTCATTTCCAATACTACCTGTTTTATATGTTTAAAACAATTGGAACATTGAATTGTTTTGAAGACGTTCACATTATACTAGTGTTGTGACTTTAGAGCCCGGTTAGTTATCACATTTTATTCGCCAATCGAAATACGACTTATTTAATCTTAGTACTGCGCTAAATCAATGACGTTCGACCAGTATGAGCAGCCTAGCGTCCTTATTGGTCATTTACTCGCCTAGCCCGTCCAATTGAGTCCAGAACATCAATAACAGCTCCCACTATGCGACAAACAGATCGCATCGCACCATAAAATAGGATATAACATTCATACAAGATCAAGCCAAAAACTGGCTGTGAATGTGAGAGACCATAATCAACAAACTGAACATAACTTAAGAACAGTAAGTCGTATATTAGTAATCTATAGGTCAAAATGAAGCTTATAATAAGAGGAATATAGATATGCACATTCCAGTTACTGAATAGTTATACAATAACAATATGAAATATTAGTCCATGAATAGATCTCAGTGGTTATCTGTAATTTAATCTTCACAAGTATATAACAGATAGAATTCGACATGTTCATATTATTCTATTTTATTTCGCAGACAAGATTTTTCACAATTATACATCACGGTATCAAATTTATTACTTCGGAAATAATTTAAGTTCGTTTATCCAATGAACAAATTAGAATGCAGTTCCACTATAGTAAGTGCTACTGATGTCGGCAGATATAAGTAGTATATATCACCAGTCGAAAATGGCATGCCTGGCTGTAGACGGCTGAGAAAATCGAAGAGAAAAATAATCGAGAACCGAGAGTGATTGGTATTAAAACGAAGGAACAACAAAATTTGAGACAATTGGTCGATATTTTGCAAAATGGTGTATTTACTGTACGATTCTCAGACTTTATCAAGATATTCTATAATGTGTTAAAATACATTTGATTGTTCCATATGGTGTTCTCGTTCATGACATCATTATTATTATCTTGTCACTGGTAAAATTTAGGGACAAACTAATTTTGTTGTAAATATTTGAAATGTGTTCACAATTGATTGATCACTGGGTGGTGATCAATGTCATGCTTGTCTAGTCCTTATTAGTGCAGATCGAATGCTATCGATCATGTTGCAATGTGGCCACCAGTCTAGGTGACTCGACACTGCGGGCACTATGTATTGAGATTAGATAGTGGTTGGAGGTAGTCAACAGGAAAGCCTGGACCCGGGTTTCGTGCTACTTGGCACTCGTCAGCAA